TTGTTGTGGGTGGCTGCCTCCTCAGTCCTGCTTTGGATCTCGAAGTTGCCTTAATTTGAGCAGTCCAAGACAAGATTTTAGAAATGGAGGAGTCACCCGTCCTGCCCAATTCATCCAATGTTTTGTAAACTGAATCCCAAAAATGATAATCATTGATTTAGTCAGGGGACACCTTGGGGTACTGAACAAGCAGCCATTTAACTAACTTTCTTAACTCTTTTTTATTAACATCAGAAACACCCACCCCAATAAAGATTCCCGCAACTTGGATAAACAGTCGCTTCTGGACTGTAGAGACATAAGCACCCATACTTAAGCTGTTAACCGCACAGCCCAGTCTGTCCACCGCCACAGATCAACGTTACAAGAGAAAGAAAATGGGATTCCATGCCAAGGCACTGTCGCAGGACGATGCCTGCAATCGCTGTGCAGATACAAAAAGGGTGCACACAGGCACTAGAAAATTGAAAAATCAGGGCAAGAGAAGTAAAAAGGATAGCACTTATGAACAGGTTGGGATCAACTGAAAGTTGAGGTGATGGTCCAGTTGGCAGGAACAACTCAGCAGGTGTACAAAGCTGCTGGTCCCAGTACCCAGGAGCGCCACCCCTTAAAACGAGGTCTGCTCCCACCGGGGTAGCTTGACGGCCAGTGAAGCTTGGCAAAGATCCCGTGGGTAGCGCCCAAAGGACAAGCAAGTTTAGTCCGCAGGGTCCGGAGATGGTCACGGCCGCCTCATGTTGGACGCCAATCTGCAGCGGTGGCAGGCTTAGAGAAAAGTCCTGGCAAGCTGCGACCAGCAGCACCGGCAGCACTGGGGCACTCTGCTGGCCCACGCAGGTGGGGAGGGCGCCTATGGCTTTTCAGCCTTGCAGGACGAAGCTCAGCAACATAAAAGAGAGGCTGCTACACGATTGGAAAGAGAGACTCAAACTCCAGCAGAGGTGCAAAATGGAGCTTATTAACTCCACTGAATCCAGCTGCTGAAGACCCCTAACTGGGGTCCGACAAGGGTTTTTAAAGAGAGGAGGTTACAAGGGAGTGGCTTGGTCCTCAGCCAATTAAAAATCAACACGGGTGTGGTGAGGATGATAGGCATTGTGCAGTAACCAATAGAGACAAACATGGGGAGGGGCCCTGTCCCTGAGCCAATCACTCAACGCCCAAGATGGAAAGTTCTAGAGAGAAGGGTTATGGTGGCGAGTGAGTGACAGGGCACCAGGGAGGGATTAAACAAAGGATACATGCGTTGTCAGGGGAAACCGGGGAGGAGAAAACTCAACTGACAGGACAAGTGAAGAGAGAGAGAACCAGGGCGGAACCTTTACAAATATAGGGGCACATGGAACAAACTAATAGAATAACTAAAACCTATAGAACACAATACAACATCCAGCAACTGCTGATGATGATCAACACTGGTTTCCAGTTTTTTCGGAACTGGCGCAAGGTCTGGACTTTGGGGTCACACAGGTTTATTGAGGAGCATGGAGGCTTCCTCCTCTGTGGTGTCAGGCATGATCAGCCCTATGGAGGAATGCTTCTCTTCAGCCGTGGCTCCTCCTCTGCTGCTCACAGCGGGGTGGCTCTGAACCAACGGGTCAGAGAGAAAATCCAGGTTCCAGTTTAGACCCTGGACAGATCTGGACCTTCGCTCCACTTTCACAGGGCTCAGCACCTGGTAGAAAAGCTGATTATGTCCAACCCAATACTGGCGGTCCTTCTTCTTGTGCCGTTTGTGTGTCCTGGTGTAGTACTTCTTGGGAGCTGGATCTTCCTCCTCATCTCTCTGTTGTCCTGAGAGGGAGGGATCGTCAGCATGTTTTAATCCACCAGCTACAGCTGAGGGCTTTAATCCTTGCCTAATGCTTGCCGATTCAAATGTGACTCCTGCTGCTTGTGATCCCAGCTTGAGGGTGTATTTTTCTCCGCATGCTTCAGCCTGGCAGACTGGGGCTGGTGTGGGACAAAGCTTTTAGCAGTCTTTATGATTTCAGCCATGTGCAGCTTCTTCTTGAGCTTGGCCTTCAGGTCACCAGCGCTTGTTTTGCCTTCGTGCCCCAAGAGATGCTGAGGGGGATATGAATTTGTTCTGGAGCTATCCAGGCTGCTGACATCACCCTCAGCGCTCAGGGTCAGGGCAACCACAAGCGTTACAGTGCCATGATCTGCCAGTGAAGGCTCCTTGGGCTTGAGGATCAACATGGGGCTGGTGTTCAGCTCTCTGCGTTCTTCCATGTCCACTATTTCTCCCCGTGTCTGTAGCAGAGTGGATTTCTCCTGGACATTTGATCTAAGCCTGCTCTGTGTCACTGTGGAGCCATTCCCATTTGTACTGGGTTTTTGTGGCCAAGTTTTGGCATGGCTTTGGGCCTAGGGATGCTGTTGAAATTTCTTTTGCTTCTCATTATCCTGCTCTGGTTTTGTTGGTAATAAATGGAATTAATATCCCCATGTTCCCTCCGTTGTGTCCGTGAGGGTGACCAGGGAGGAATTTCTCCCTCTCTTTCTGTGAACTCATGAGCCTTCTGCTGCCTTTTCTCTCCTCTCCACTTGCGCGGAGCGGTGACAGCGCCTTTGGTGGGCAGCCGGCATCCAGCCAGGGCCAAAGGCCGCCTGGCGCCGGGAGAGCGCGGGGAGCTTCCCGAAAGCCGGGCACAGTCGGGATGGCCGCCGGGAGAGCCTGAGGGAGCCGCAGCGCCAACGGCGGGAAGCGCCGGCAGCCTGAGGGGCGGCAGCTCCGCCTCAGCGCGCCGGCACCGGCAGCGACCGCCGTGCAAAGGGAGCCGCGGGCAGCTTTGGCAAGGCCGCCACGGCCCCGCAAGCAGCGCCCACACAGGCGCCCCGGCCCGGCCGGGAAGCGCGGCCGCTCCGCCGCACAGGCAGCTCCGGCTCCGGGCAGCGCCTCCGGCAGCGGCCGCCCCGGCCTGAGGGGAAACGCGCGGGCCAACAGCTCGGGCCGGGGCGGCTGCGGCAGCGCTTGGGGCAGGGCGGCCTCCACTCCTGGCCACGGAGTCACGGAGCCTCAGAGTCTCTGACGATGGAAAACACCTCCGGGTTCAGCGAGTCCATCCTGTGCCCGGTCCCCACCTTGGCAGCCAGGCCACAGCACTCAGTGCCGCCTCCAGCCGTTCCTTGGACCCCTGCAGGCATGGGCAGTCCACCACCTCCTTGGGTAGCTACTTCCAAGGCCTGACCACCCTTTCCAAGGAGAAATTCCTCCCTGACCTCTGTGTTTCTCGTCTTACACACCCTGGCACTATTTTAAGCCTATTCTGAGCCATATTCGACAAAGGTGCCTTTCATGCATGCGCATTAAACCTCCTCGAGAAGGTGATTCTGCTCCATGACAGCAGCCCTTCAGCATCAGGTTCAACAATGCAACCATCAGCCTGGGAGCCAGGCAGGAGTGAGGGAGGGCCAAGGGAAGGCGGAGGAGGTGAAAACCTCAAGGGTGCAGAGGGGACAATGCTGCTTGTGCAGCTCCAAGCCAGCGCCACGGGGACACCAGTGCCGAGGCCTCTGCAGGAGGACACCGGCCATTCCCCTTCCCACCCCCCACCCAGAGCTCTTGTGCTCACAGGAGACATTTGGAACACAAAAGTGTTGACCCTGGAAAGCTACAGGGGCCTTGGGATGTTTTAGAAGCGCTACTGCAAAGCCTCTTCCTGAGGCTGAGGTTTTGGAATGAGAAAACTCTACAGCGAGTGCTGGAGCCAGGCACTGCCACTGCCACTGGGGCTGGCAGAAATAACACCTGGGCTGAGGTAGGACCAGGTGCATGCTCTGGTGCATGCTCTGCTCAGCATGCACCAGTGGCAGAGCTGAAGGGGGAAGTGCAAAGCTAAGGAGTGGCAGGGAGGGGCAGAGGGAGAGGGACTGCTGGAGCCACTCTGAAGCAGCCACTGGACAAATGTCCCAGACAGACACATCCCAAGAAGCCGAGGATGCCCAAGGGTGTGGCCAGCACGCAGAAGGAGGGGATCCAAAACAAGGGGAATGGAAACAAGGCCCTGCTGGGGGCAGCAGGGCACTCCCCTCCTGGCCCATCTCACCTTCCCAGCTCCCTCTACACAACGCAGGGGAGGCTCTGAGCCTCCGGGGCCGGGACAAGCACGGTGTGGACAAGCTCCATCCAGGCTGGAGGGGCTGCCCAGGGGGAGTCAGTCCAGCCACGCTGTTTGAGAGGCTCCCTGGGGACGCTGTCCTGAGGCACAGAGGAGTCCAGAGAGGCTGGACATTCTGCAGGGAGAAATCCTTGAAGGCACAGGCAGGAACAGGCCGTGCCCATGTGCCCAAAGACGAGCTGGTGAGGAAGCTGAGCGGCTGAGCAGGAACCTTTGCCTGGGACTCAGGGAAAACACAGAATGTACACCTTTGGAAGAAGGGCAGCACCACAGGAGGATGGCGAGGATGTTGTTGGGGCGTGCAGGGAGAAAGGCAGAAAAGCAAAGGCCCGGCTGGAACTGAATTTGGCCAATTCCATAAGGGAGAACAGAAACTGCTGTTGCAAAGACATCGGCAACACCAGGAGGAACGAGAACAAACTTTGGTTTTATTGAATGCAGGGGAAAACATTGCTACAAGGGATGAGGAAAACCTGAGATACTGATGCCTTCTCTGGGTGTCCCGAGCTTGTGCTTGCCTGCAGCACCCTCCGGCCTTCCCTCAGCAGTGACAGCAAGAAAATAACAGTCAAGGAAAAAGCATCCAAGGAAATAACAACAGCCAACGAAGCAGCATCCAAGGAGAGCCTCTGCTAAATGGGAGGTGAAGAATTGCTGGCATCCCATTAACCTCTTGCAACTCTTCTACCTTACTTCTTCACACTGTGCCTCTTCCCGGGATGCTTGTCTCTGGGATTCATAGGCATCCCTGATGCGTTGAATACATTGCAATTCAGAATTGCTGAACAGGGAACAGCAGCACTGGGAAGCACCATGAACAGCCTGGGAACAGAGGCAACACTCGGGGGGGCTCTCTGCCGAAAAGACGAGATGTCAGACACGGAGGTCGTTATCCTTCCTCCCTCTCTGTGGCAGTTTTACACAGAACCTGAAAAAACCAGAAAGGGAAAATGGGCATACAAAGAGAAGGCAGCTGGTGATGGAGGCTGTGGGCAACAGGGCTGCCTGTGCTCTGTCCTGTCTGGGAAGCAGCCGCTGGAGCAGTCGGGAAGGGGCATTTCCAACGCTGCAAAGCAATGGAGTGAGTGAGGTGAACGGGGACAAAAAGGCTTCTGGCCGTCCCATCGCCAGAGGTCCCTGCTCCCGGTCCGTAAGCAGGGAGGTTTGGCCAGGGAGGGCTGCAGCAGGTGCCAGCACCTCTCCCTGCTCTGGGGTGTGTCAGCAGAGCCCAAGGAAGATGGGGAGCCCCAGCAGGGATGGCAATGGCTGGCAATCCAGGGAATGAGCCCTGCATGCAAAAGGCAGCTGGAGAGGATGGGAGTGAGTTCTTCTGAGTTCTTCACCAGCCACTGTGGGGAGGGAGCGGGAAAAAACAGGGCAGAGCAATCAGCAGAGGAGACTGCTTGTGCTCACAGAAATTTGGGAGCACCCCGGGGCCCAAGACATCCATGCCAGCGCCGGCGTGGGAAGGGCTGGTTGGGCTGGGAGCCCCTGGCCTTGCCCAGCGCTCAGGAGCCGCTTTCCCAGGGCTCCCCCAAACGCGACGTGTTGGAAACACGGCCCGAGGAGTCCTGGGCAGCGGCACCTGCGCGGCTGCGGGGCTCCAGGAGGAGCTGCTCTGCACAGGAAAGACTCTTGGTGGCATGGGCAGGAGTTACCTTCTCAGCCACAGTTTCCTGGTGTGGTCAGGTTGCGAGTCAAGTTCACGTCGGGAGCACTTCTGGGGAAGGAAAATGGGAGATTTGCAACATCAGTTTTCCTGTAATATTCTGCCAATCAGGAGAGGGTGAAAGCTCTCATTGCTGTGTGGCTGAAGGCAGGAGAGCAAAGCAAAGCTGGGGAGAGCTGGGACAGAAGGCAGGACAAGCTCCCCCCAGGCAGGCTGGACCCTGCTGAGCTGAGTGCTGCGGATGCTGCCACTAGCTTCAGGCTTGGAAAAACATCTCCTGTGGTACCCAGCACATGCAGGGGCATCTGCAGTGGCACATGGGGCTCGTCACCTGGGCACTGCAGCTACAAGACAGACAGCTGTGTGTCAAACAAGATATTCACTTACGTGGGAGACACACTTCAGTATCAGCAAAACCAAGACGAAGAAAAACAGCAAAACCACAAACGTGATCACGTACACCACAACCTCCAGTTTTTGCTGTGAGGAAAGGAAGGAAGAACATGTGGCTAAGAGCATTGATCCTTCCATTCTCCTTTGCCCAGAAGGACACATGCAGCAGTGCCCAGCAGCTCTCCTACCTTCCCTGTGAGTCCCTTGTCCTTCCCCAAGGCCATGTGAATTATCATGCTCTCTTGCAGACGACACTGCTCCATTGGATCATAGGCTCCCTGGTTCTCTTGCCTCTCTCTGAGCAGCTTTAGAAGCAGCCTGGTCTTTGTGACCATCTTGGCACACGCCTGCTTGAGCTGGGGCAGGCTGCAGTCCCTCTTCAGGGCTCGCTCCACATGGGCCATGAATGCCTGCAGGCCTTTGTGTGCCTCCAGCAACTGCTGATGATGATCAACATTGGTTTTCACTTCTATCAGAACTGGCGCAAGACCTGGCCTTTGGGGTCTCACAGGTTTATTGAGGAGCATGGAGGC